ATGAAACCAATGACTGCAGATGAGAATGCCTCCAAAATGTTTAATTTACTCAAAATGTTGAACAGCACAGGAAGGTCAAACACTTTGGAGTTGTGTCCAACTAGAACAGCATCTGACTGCGATTTCTTTATGAAGTCGATAAACTGGATCAGTGCATCCTTAATGCTGACTGTCTCAACTTCCTCATCATTGTGGTACATTTTATTGTTGACTACTTTTATTCCAGTAATTTCTGTAGCTTTTGAGGACATTGGTTTTTCTGGAATGATGTATTTGTTGAAAACCTCATCATTTCTAACTGCAGACAACTGCACAATATGAGAATCCCTTGCTAAAAATAAAAAACAAATAATTGAATTTTGATTGTAACGCATCATTTGATTGGATAAAAAATTAATCTAAATTGTATAATCTGGTTTGCTTACGTCACAATGACTTACAACAAATTGTATCAATCCGCTTGTACGTTACGTTTAAAATATGAACTATTTGAAGGCATTATAAAGAGAAAATCTGTCTTGTTTTATATTCTTGATGATTGAAAATTAAATCATAAGGAGTGAATTACATGGCAACCCAAATTATACTGCTACAACCTGGGTTGGAGCAGTTTACGCTTTTTTATAAACCGATTTGAGGTTTAGAAAGCGTAAACTGCCCCAACCCAGGTAATACAGTATAATTTGGGTTGCTATTTAATTCATTCCTTAAGTAAATTCAAGTTTTTAAAATTAAAAGCATTAAAAAAAAATACATACAAAAATTGATATATTGTAAATAATTGTATTATATTTAGCATGTATGATATTTGGAAGAAATTGACTTTTGAATAAGTAAGCGTAGATTTGATTTAGTGCATTTCTTCATTTTCTTCTTAATGTGTATATGTGCAAGACATTTAGCGTTGTACTTGATTTAGCGGTTGCAGCGTTTCGCCAAATCCGCTATTAGAATACACAGCCAAATGTAATCCGTTTACAGTATGCATGATTTAAAAAATTTTGAAACATTATAATAATAGTAACCCTCTTCCCCAAGACTTAACTCCTTCAAAGATGCTTGAATTCTTTCAGAATATGCAATTTCTTTTTAATCAGTGTCCTCAGAAGGAAGGGTAAAGTTTTGAAAGATATAAAACATGCTCAACTACTTTTACCAATACTGGAATTATGCAAGAGTCTCCATTTCTATTTGTTTTCTATGATAACTCTAGTATTATTATTTCAAAATGCATACAAAAAAATACCGGAAGAGGGCCATAACCATCAGCAGTGACTTAACATTTAAATCTAGGTTCTTACCGAGTCCAGTAGTTTCCAAATCAAAATAGATCTCTTCAGCATTTAACAGCTGACTTGAAGGAAGATGATCATACTTTGGAATTGTTTTTGGAGCTGGAATTTCAACGATGTCAGAGGCCTGCTGGAGATCACATCCTGTTAAATAACTGATGCCTTCCCTTGTTTCTTTTGTAGAAATACTTTGAATTCTGTAAAGAAGATGTATACTGTAAAACAAATGATTCTAAACTGAGGTCTTACTAAAGGCCTAGCAAAATAAACAATCACCTAATGTACAGCTAATGAATTAGGAGTTGTAAATAAATGAAAATCCTGAGCACATCGGCAAGGAAAGAGCACAAAGTAGACCAGAATAGAAAATTTATGGTACATGTAATTTACTGAAGGGGGGGGGGGGGGGGCTTAAATTTTATCACTACTTAAGAATGCCTCCATATCAATACAGCATATAACTTTTTTAACATTTTGTTCGTATATATTACTTAGTAATAATTTGAATTTGATTCCCCACCGTTTCCCTCCCTACCACAAAGGATCAGGATTTAAACAAATTTAAATCTTCAATTTTCATTTCCATATGACTAAACATAGCTTCTCTTTTTTTTCGGGGGGGGGGGGGGATTTTTTTCCCTTTATTTTCCTATGTAAAACTTTGATCCACCATGTATGATTTGAAAAAAAAAAATTAATTCTACTTTACCTGAGGATGCTTCCATATTAATATCACCAATCATAGCTTTGCTATTCTTGAGAATTTTTTTTAAAATATATTGTACTGTAAAATGCAATTGTGGCCCCGCCCTATCCCTGGGAGTCATTATTTAAACAATCTAGAATCTACACTACCTGAGGATGACTTCATATCAATATCACTTATCATGGCTTTGCTGTCCTTGAGAAGAAGATTTTTAAAGATTTCAAATTCTCTATATATTCCTGTGTAAAACTTTGATTGGCTATGTGGTCCCACCCTATCCCCCAGGGTCAAGATTTGAACAAACTTGAATCTACACTACCTGAAGATGATTCCATATGAAATTCATCACACCTGGCCCAGTGGATACTAACTTTGTAGCAAGTTTGGTTGAAATTGGCCTAGTTGTTCTTGAGAGGAAGATGAAAATGTGAAAAGTTAATGACAACAGATACATTTTTATCAGTAAAGCTCACTTGAGCTTTCCGCTAAGGTGAGCTAAAAAACTGGGTATGTAGGTAGGTAAAATTTTTATTTTAAGATTGCAGCAAAGCAATATGCCCTCCCTTCTTTGAAAAAAATATTTATCAAACCATGCTATTTATACAAGCATACCGTAAATCTTTGGTGATTCAGAAAACAAATCTTAGTAACATGCAAGATATTAATTCCCACTTAAATTCATACTTATCATCATTCACTTGTTCTTGGTTTATTTTCATTTTTGAGGTTGTCAAAAGGTTTTTTACACCTGACAAATGACAATCAAAGTATACTAGTACGTACTTCCTGGCTTTCAATTCTCTCCTTCTCCTTTTAAATTTTTGTGTCACTGAAATGGCCTTCTGTCGCTTTCTTTGTAAATCCCTCAGAATGCACTGTCGTCGAGTATAGTAGCCAGGAGAGAGGCCCAATTTCTTGTTAACCTTTAATAAGGATAAAAGAATCTATTATGTACAACTACAATGTACATACATATACAATACAATTTGCTTTTGATTAAAATTTGCAGAATTTTCAAATGTAAGAGATAACTTCAGTGGTTCAACTCAGATATGACACAATAAGCATGAAAAAATAAAAATTTACAAACCTTTACAAGATATTTGTGTCCAACATTTTTCTGGGCTACACATGCAGCAACTCTATATCTGAGGCTTGAAGAAGAGCTGTAATGATGGGTCTTTGGGGCTTTTGCAGACACCATTCTGTGAAAACTCTCATTCGACTGTGTGCTTCCTAAGCATGAAAGACGATCAGAATGACTTGCATATGAACTGAAGACTTCTTTCAGATCATCCTGAAGGAACCTATCTTTCAGGGGTTTTCCATGTGGAAGTGACTTGTACTTCAGGTTAGGGTTGTTAATGAAGTTGCACCACCTTGAGGAGCAGTGTTGGTGATCTCCAAATATGTGTAATGGAATTGATGAAAGGTCTTCTTTGATTTGAGAAGCATTTCCTTTTCCCTGTGCTATGGAGTAACTGAAGCATTTCTGAATGTACTTTATCACAGACAAAGTTAGAGTTGAATGTTTTTTCTTCAAGGTAAACAAAGAGTTTGTAAACAGTTTCTTTAGATGATTTTTATCAGACAACTTCTTAATATCAGCATTGACATTAGCTTTCAGTCTTGCAATAGTGGTAGAGTCCTCATCTCCAATGATTCCATCAATGGTTATTCCTTTTCTTTTCTGTAGATCTTGGACCATCTCAATAACCATATCTGCCTCCATGGCCTTTGAACTACCCTCCCAATTCTTTGAGCACTCATGGGCTGCTGGATTCTTGTTGGTTGATTCAGCTACACTGCATACTCTGCAATTCTTAGACCTCAGGGAGTATGACAATACTTTGTCGGAGAGAGGACCAACCATGGAACAATGACCTGAAAAATTACAAATTAGAAAAACTGTATAACTTATAGATGTATTCGTTGTTTTTATTAAAGCATTTTTCATGCATTTCTTAACTTAATAAAATGTATGTCTTAATACTTTGGCAAGGAAAATCAAACTCGATCACTGATGTTACATGTATGCATTTGGTAATAACCTTTAACCCCTTTAGTCAGCAATGAACCTGTGCGTCCAGTGCACTATAGCATAATTAGGTCAAATATTTATTTTTCATGAGGGGTGCTGTATAAATAATGGAAATCGTTCAACTTTAAAAAAGTAAACAGTTGCTTTAAAACGTGTTTGCAGGATGCAATAGGGACCAAATTCCTACTTCTTTGAAGTTAAGTGTTCTAAGTATTGACAATGCTTTGGTAAATAATGTTTCTAATAATTGTCGTTAAAAATTGGTTGCGTGCCATAGAGCGATTAGGGAATACGCTAACTGTGTAAAATCACCTAATATTTTAATATTTTGATTTGACTCATTATGAGTCTTAATGATTTTTCTCCTATATATATTCCCGTGTAAACATTATATCGTTTTTTGGCTCCATTATCCCACCTTGGGTCCATATTTCGAACAAAACTGAATATGCTTTACCTGCATGAGCAACATAACTATTCATGGCTGTTCTTTAGAAGAATATTTTACAATTTATATGGACAATTGAACTTTGAGATATGTGTCTTTCTAAATTTATTGCATCTGTTTGCATACATATTTAATGGAATCAAGTCCTAAGCAAACTTAATGCATAGTTTATGTTGGGCACAAGCGGAAAGTAATCACTCTAATCATCAATATCTTTTTTTTATTTTCCTAAAATTTGTCTACTGTAGAAGCAGGGTTTTTTCTAGGTCTTAAAAACAAGGGCCTGGGCCTTTCCAATTGGGAAAAATAGTGACATTTGGCTGATATTGGGAAAAGTATCATATTCAATATTTTTTCTATATAAATTCAAATAAGAGGGGTTTTGTTTTATTTGCAAAGTATTTCTTTGATTTATTTTGCATTCAGTCAATCAGTTTTGCGAGAATGCCTTTTAGATTTTTATTTAGAACAATACTTTTGATAAAAATGTTACTGCGTTTGAACATTTTTTAATCAGTTTGTTTCGATTCTCTTTAGGGAATTTTCTACAATGAAATTGGGAAAAACACATACTTTTTACCATTGGGAATGGGGCCTTATACAGGCCCCCTACGACCCCTAAAAAAAACCCTGAGAAGCATAAATTTTCGTGGGCATAAAATTTTTTTGTTTTGACATCAAAAATAATCTCGTCGTTGTTTTAAAACTAACCCTAGGTCTAAAAAAAAATATGTTTGTTTCCTGTAACCCGACCGACCCATTCAAATTACCCCCCGGGTGAATTTTCTTATTGACAAATGGCAAAACTTCGTTTGATCAATCAGCTGATTCCATTTATTAAAAAAAGAAAATTAGCTTGTAGCTTAACTTGAGACATAAAATATGTCAACCTAGTTTACATCTAAGTTTGATTAGTTATAAAGAGTAATCATTATTATAACAACAATTTCCCCCTACAACTTTCTGAAGATCGTTTTCTGCCTCTAGGTAGCCATTTTGGATGCCATGTTGGGTGTCAACTGTAGATATGACACCTGGTATATTGAATCCAGGGATGTTTGACAATTCATAAGAAAAAAAAGAATCCAGACCTACCGACCCTTAATTTTTTTTAATGTTACAGGAAACAAACATATTTTTTTTAAAGCCCTATTCAATGTATAGTCATATAAAATTTCGTGTGGGATTTAATTTTGTTGAATTTTCCCCCCGAATATTTGTGCTTTTACAGTATTTTTACCTGATAAACTATCATATGTCTTTCCGCTACCCCGTTTTTGCCATCCAGCATCTACAGCAACAACTAGTCCATTTTCGTTCATCTCTCTGAAAAATAGATAAATAACAGACATCAGTTATTAACTGTGAACCTGTCATCTTTAGAACACCCCCTAATGTGCATAACATTCTGCATATTTATCAATACAAATTATACTGTACATGATTAAACCTTATATTTATCAGTATATCAGATTCTATTAACTTGATCACTATCAATTATTATTAGGTATTCCCTATGATTTTCATTTGGGGATCAAAACTAAAACATGAGGCTCTTGGGGCTTGGGCCACAATACTCTAGGAAGTCACTGTCTCTGTCCAATCTAATTAAAATTTTTTAATTTTTCCTTTTTTAATTCCTTCTAGGAATGAATTTAATAGCTACCCAAGTTATATTGTATATCCTGGGTTGTGCCAGTTTTGGCTTTCTATAATCTAATTAAAATTTTTTAATTTTTCCTTTTTTAATTCATTCTAGGAATGAATTTAATAGCTACCCAAGTTATACTGTATATCCTGGGTTGTGCCAGTTTTGGCTTTCTATACAGCGAGGCTTTCATTTCAAAGCAGGTTACACTATTATAACTTGGATAACTATGAAGTTAATTCCTTATAATTTAATTCTCCATCAATAAGTAAAGAAAATAACTATTAATAAGACAATTTTTCCTTCAAAAATGCATGCAATTAGTACATACATGTATCTTATATGTAAAATTAAATGGGTTGTTATGTTTGTGACATACATGTTAGTAATTGTGACTTAACCAACACAGGTTATACCATATGACCAGGCCATCCTTAAAAAATTGTTTTTTTGCGGTAACGCGACCGACTCACCAAAATCCACCCACTGGATTTTTTTTATGGGTTCAAAAAAAATTTTTTTTTTTTTTACATAACCATTTTCTAATTTTATCCTATTGACATTTTTTTACGTCCCCATTGACCTGTAGACGCCGTTTTTTAAAAAAATTAACTGATGTTTTCTGATATTTGATCTGTTACAATAAAAGATTGGATTCATTAAGAATGCCTTAATTTTCTTTTTTGATTAGTAACTTAAAGTGAAATCTAAGACATAGTTAATACCTCTATATAACCGAAATTTAATTCTGACTTTTTGTCTCCAAAAAAAAAAAATAATAAGCCTACCTACCTACCCACACCTAAAATGATGAGGCGCGTTATCGCAAAAAGAAATTTTTTTAAGGATGGCCCCACTACACATGTATGCTGGACACCCATTGATCTGATCAGAAAAGCTCTATTGCGCCTTTGGCTCATTTGAGCTAAATAGTGAGATTTAAACTGAATTTATATTGTTTACACACTCATTCATCATTTCCAGTTCCTTCTGCAAAGCATCAGACATAGACTCTGCAGCAATGTCTTCAACAGCTCTGCCTATCTCTTTCTGTCTTTTGTCCAGCATGGCATGGCTTACAGGTGGTATATTCAGCTCAGAAAGGAGACTGTTGACTTGCGTTGCACCAATATTAACATGTACAATTGCTGTAAATACAAATTCATAAATGTAAAAAAGAAATCAATCTAATCACTTTAAACAAGAAGCTTGTGAAATACAACACTCACCTTAGTCTCATTTATTTTCTCTCTTTATTACCAGAAATTAAAAATAGAACCCATACTTTTAACAAACTAAACCCCTAGGGGTAATGGCAACAAAACTGGAATTGATCTACAAAGAATCTCTTGGATTCTAAAGGTTTTGTAGGGTAAAAATGAGGTCTACCGATTAGACATCAGAAACATTTCCTTGACAAAACTATGTTTTATGCTAACTTTGACAATTTCAGGAGGGGTTTGTGCCGGGTGTGCCCCCCATTAAGTCTGCCACTGATTATATATATCAATTTATAGATACATATACCTATTTACTGGCTATGAGGACAAAAGCAAGTTTATTGTCCCCCAAGACAGCAACAATTTCTCAAGGTGCGTCCAAGTTGCTGTTGAGGGGGACAACAAACTTGCTTATATTGGAATAGACAGGTAAAACTCAATCAGGCTCTTGTGACTTGACAATAATAAATATACATGTAACTGAAGTAGGGGATGTGTAGGTTAAACTTCTTACCTGCTGATAGCTTTGTATTTACATCCCACACTCTTCCATGTTTTTTCCCTGTTTTTACATGGTTAATATGATTACACTTTGTATTGCTGCAACAGACCTGAAATGTTTATGTAAAATCAATGAATTCCTAATTACAGGTCACTGTTCTAAATTCATTCACCATTAATGAAATCAAATGCTTGGGAAAAAAGAATTTAAATATGCATTACTTCAAATTATTTCAAAGAAAAAAATGTAACATCTTTCAAAACTAAAAATTTGGATATATGGAATACTGCCTGTTTTATATGGAGTAAAATTCAAGGAAAAACCTTTCAAGGTTGTTTTTATACAAACTGTGCAAAAATTGCTGAGTTCATACCTTTAACAAAGAAGCTAAACCATATGTCAACACAGAAATAGTGTGTGAAAGTTGTAATGGTAAGCCACATTTACAACATCCCCGCAAGCCCTCAGCTAACACTCCAAGTTCTACTACTCTCCTCCCCTCCTTCCAATCCTCAGATGTAGTCACTTCTTCCCCATCAACCACCTCCTCTCTTTCCAGTATATTCAAATTTGGCAATTCTATGAATAATGAATAAAAATTATCACCATTACACATTCTTTATTTTCTACTGTAACACATCCTGACTAGTTGACTGTTTAGATACACTATGACTTACTAAATTCTAAGAACCAGTTTTCAAAATAATTCATTGTGCCGATATACAACATATTTTTCCATATACCGATATTTCTCAAGATATTCTGAAATCAATCTAAAATATGATCTACTAAATTCTTTTACTCGACATTTGCTTGGAACCTGGTCATTCACATGTAAACAGACGGTGTATGAGGTGCAGCGAAGAGTTGCATAGCATTTGCAAGATCTTTCAACATTTTAAAGTTGATTTCTTACTTCAGATTGTAAGGTTAAGTAGTCTGTATTAATAATAATAAGTTAAAATCTGGATCAACAACTACACCGCCATTTTGATTATGAATGTAAAAGAAGCTATATGGTTGAACAATTTTTTCCTGTAATGCATTATCATGTCAGATTATATACCTTTCTATTTTCAAAACAATTAGGCCTAGACCGCTAACATTTTTTTTGTGACTTAGTAAGATCATATGATCCAATTAAAGAAAAATCATGTAAATCTCAAATTCAAATGAGCAAATATTCATTGAGTTTAGAACAGACTTTGGAGAAAATTTGTCCTGTCGTTCCCGCTTAACAATTAGTGTTGGGCCCATTGGCAAGCTGATGTCAATTAAAAAAATTTAGGTCAATTTCGGAATTGATTTCATAATATCTTAATAAGTATAAAGAATTACGGAATGAAATTTGAAGGAATGAAGATTGTTTATATATGGATAGATATGGATAAACAGTAAATTTGTAAAGCATTCAATGTAAAAGAATTTTATTGGGGAAAGTAGGTATATACCCTATGAAAAGAGTTCCATACCTTTATTTCTTTTTAAACCCCTCAATTTTTTTTCTAAGTGATCTAAAGGCCTGTGGGTCAAATGAGTATATCTTTCATCACGTGCAGTGTATTAAAATAAAATACAGTAATTATCTTTGATTAGTATTGTCATGTAAGGTAAGACATCAGCAAATGTAATTTTTTTTTTGTAACAGCTATAGGCTTAGTATATATATATTTTATTGAAATCCACATATGACATCATGTATAGTTAAATTTATTATCATCAAATATGATTCAAATTTCCATGTTGCACTTTGATAACAATAGGCCACGTGGTTTTCAATAAAATACCCCCCCCCCCAAAAAAAAAAAATTATTTTTTTAAAACTTTGTTGTCAATCAGATGAAAACTTGTTTTTATCATTGAAATATATCGTTGAAAATTCAATTATATACTTGATAAAAACAAGTTTTCAATGTCTTAGTTATGTCATGTTGTTTTTCAATGAAATATTGAGAAAAATTCAATATCTTCTCTTTTGGTGCACATCTTTAACATGTTTAACTATTATAATTTTTTTTTAAATAGCTACACGAAGTCATAGTTCAAAAAGTCTTTAGATTGGACCTGGTATATAAAATGAACATCAACAAATTCATGTACCTCCCTTTAACATTTCTAATAGACCTATGTGTAATCATGGTAATTTAGATGCAGATATGAAAACGAGTCTTTTAGATTACGTATTTTACATGTACAAACCGTGATCGTGATCAACGCTGACAGGGGTTGCACTGGCGGAGTAATTGTGGTCTGTAAGGATAGCTCCCCTAATCCATCGAGTCAATTGCCCTGCAGATACTTTATCATATCTCTCCTTCTGCTTTTTCGAGACGAACCCATGGCGTCTGTACTTTGGTTTCACCATCTCAACCAAAGTTACCGCGCAGACCTTGACTTCTCGTCTGCTTTTTGTTTACATTATCGTAATCCGGTTCACATCCGCGAAATGTAAAATGCTTAGTATATGTTTGTTTTCTGGCATAAAAAATCGTTATTATGTTACTTTCTATGGATGATGATAATAATTATTTGTAGAAACTATTAATTCTCTGCCGTATTGAATTCTTTATTATAACGACATTCAGACCAATTTCCGGCAATTCTGTTATATGTGTCCATTATCATAAAGGGGTGTCTCCCTACACTACCAGATTTTTATTCCTATATCAAAATATTTTTTTAGAATAATTATTATATCTGAACATAAACTACCTTCACCAGAAAAAAAAAAACTAAATTCAACATTAAAACGAACAAACGATTGTGTGAACAATTCGAGAGATAGAGTTATATACCTGTGATGTAACGTTAAGCTGCAAAAGAAAGGAACGTTAATATTGTGGATTAAATCTAATATATACATGTTTCGAGGTAATCTCGTCACAAGTCTTTATGTATATTTATTAATTAACATTTTCTAAAATAATTCATAACACTGTCCAAAGTATATTACAAATGAAACCCCAATATTCCTTTTACATAATGGGTCGGATCAAACTCGTCCTTTTCCGTATAGGAGAACAAGACCCGAAGAGGATTTCGGAAATAGCCGAGTAGCTACGATTGAATACGAATGAATCTGACGTCACAGCGGAAGTGACGCCGAGCTGTGTCTGCACTGGCTGTGTTTAGATCGAAGGAGGCAACATATCTTCGTGTTTCTCCGCGTTTCAAAGCATGTCTTCCTATTGTTAACAAATTTTTATTTACTACAGCCTTTTCTTGGCAATGTTGACGCGAAGGATGGGATTTTTCGAATGCAAACTGCAAGGTTAGTGAAAAATTGGAGACAACGAAATGACCCGACCTTCCCTCGGCGTTTGAGTGTGAAATACGTTACGAGTTACGAAATTTACGCAAGCTGGTGAGGATTCTGGAATCTTTTGAGAGTATTTACTGAACATTATTCACGATGGGATGTTAATTTGAACGTTTTTTATCATAATCTACGATAAGAAAGTAGCCGCGCAGGCGCAGTAGGGGTTAGTTGTGCCTGGCATGACTAACCCCATTTTTACGCGTGCGCTAACTAACTCTGCTGAAGCTGACAAAAACCTGACTAAGCCTTGACTTTAGGCTAAGTCCAAAAAATAAAATGCATGCAAAAGAAGAAAAAGAACACCAGCACAAACAATGTTCCAGAAACAAATAAAATGATTTAAAACAAAATAATTATAAAATAAATAGAAAAAAAACTTAAATTCTAAAACTATTAACTAAACTATAAATTTTAATAGAAATGTTCATGTTAGTCAAATACTAAGACAATTTGCAATGAAAATTCTTGTTAGTTGACTAAGTTAGTCAAACTAAGACAATTTGCAATGGAAATTCTTGTTAGTTGTCTAAGTTAGTCAAATAATAACATAAAATGCAATGGAAATTCTTGTTAGTTGTCTAAGTTAGTCTAACTAAGGGATTTTTTCTTGAAAACCCCAAATTCCAATGATCAGAATAATTCCAATTTTAAATAATACACTGTTTAAACAAGCTTTCACACTTCTCTCAGATACCTCCTTTGTCTTTTGTTCAGCATGAGTGCCCACCAGTAAAACAGGAGCCTTTTCACTGCTGTATTGATGAATGGACTTTGTCCAGAATGTGAGATAATCTGAATAAAATAAAGATGAACAGTTACACAACGTCCAATTTAGTCCAACCCTACACGCTTGACTTAATCATTTAAAGAAAACTGAAAGTTCACTTATAAGCGGTTTAAATAAGATTGTTCTTATTTATTCCTATGTAAAACTTTGATCATCCCTTGTGATCCCCACCGAATTTAAAAGTTTCCCGTATATTCTTATGCAATACTTTGATCATACAATGTGGCCCAGCCCTTCCCCAAGGGTCATTCTTTGAATAAATTTGGATCTAAACTATCTCACTATCTCACAGAAATTCCATAAAATGTTAATATATTTTCAAACACATTTTTTTAAGGTCAAGATCACTCAATGAAAAGTGCCTAGAGATTCTTTATTGATGCTTTACAAGGTAAGAATGGATAAATGAGGTGTTACGTGGCATAATTTTTGTAAATAAACAAGATGCCAAAATCACATTTTTAACTGTCATTTTCAATGAATAATTAAAAAATTCATACATGAATATGGGAATTTTTTTCTGTATCAGACGAAGAAAATGTATCCAGATTACCTACAGTCTCTCAGAAAACGGTTATTTGTATGTTTTTGGTATCTTCTTTAAAGTAAGTCAAGTTTGATATAGGTATCGGGACTACTTTTCATGAGATTTCTTATTACATTCCATGAAAATACTTCATTTTCTACATAATTCTATTGGTTCCGTAAAGTACGGGAAAAAGAAAGTTTAAAGTAATAATGACGTCATAATAGATATAGCAACAGAAAGTTAGTCTGAAGACATTTGCTAGATGTGAACCTTAAGAAGATTTTTAAATGATTCCATTAATTTTCAAGACATCATACATGTAAGTATCCCCCCTTGGAGGATGTGGCCTTTCATTTGTACAAACTTGAATTCCCTCTACACAAGGATACTTAAGTCTCCTGCTCAGATGAGCTGCAAACTTTCTCAAATTAAGTGACAGTTTTCTATCATGCATAAACATGCATAATTATAAAATTCTTAAGATTGGTCTACCTGTTTATAATGAAAGAAAAAGTGAGCAAGCTCACATACCCCACGCTTCCCCAAAAATCAAAGTGCTGAAAATCTCGGAAAAATGAAAGAATCAAAATTTCATGGTAATATGCACATCAAATTGTGTCCTAAATATCTGCAAAGTTTGATGAAATTCTGTGCAGCGGTTTATGAGGAGTTGCGCTGATAAACTGTTCACCACTATATTCAATATATCCCAAAAATCTAAGCTGTAAAGTGCCGAAATTCCCCCAAAAAATAAAGGAATCAAAATTTCCTGGTAATATGCACATCTACAAACTGTGTCCAACATATCTCCAAAGTTTGACCAAAATCTGTGCAGCGGTTTATGAGGACTTGCGCTGACAAAATGTTCATCTCTTTATTTAAGAAATTGCCAAACATCTAAGTTAAAAAGTGTGGAAATTCTAAGAAAAAATAAAGGAATTGGAATTTCCTGGTAATATGCACATCTACATATTGTGTCCTAAATATCTGCAAAGTTTGACGAAATTATGTGCAGTGGTTTATGAGGAGTTGCCCTGACAAACTATTCATTTCTATATAAAAGGTATGGCCAAATGTCTAAGTTTTTAGTGCGGAAATTCCCGAAAAAAACAATGGAATCGGAATTTCCTGGTAATATGCACATCTAGATATTGTGTCCTAAATATCTGCAAAGTCTGATGAAATTCTGTGCAGCGGTTTATGAGGAGTTGTGCTGATAAACTGTTCATCTCTATATTCAAAGGATGACCGAATGCCTAAGTTAACAAGAGGCCCAAGGGCCACAGAGCTCACCTTAGCACATCAGGCTGAATTACCCCCCCCCCCCCCCCCCCCCTCCAGGCGTTCATCATTTGAACAAACTAGAATCTACACTACCTGAGGATGATTCCATATAAATATCACTAATCATAGCTTAGAAGTACTTGAAAAGAAGATTTTAAAAGGTTTCCCTATATATCCCTATGTAAAACTTGGGTCGGCTATTTTGGCCCCACCCTAGCCCCTGGGGTCATAATTTGAACAAACTTGAATCTACACTATTTTTAAAGATTGTTCTTATATATTCCTCTGTAAAACTTGGGTTGGCCATTTTGCCCCCACCCTTGCCCCGGGGATCATGACTTGAACAAACTTGAATCTACACTACCTGAGGATGATTCCACATGAGTTTCATCTTTCCTGGCCCAGTGGTTCTGGAGAAGGATTTTTAAAGATATTTCCTATACATTCCTATGTAAAACTTGAGTCGGCCATTTTGGCCCCACCCATGCCCGGGGGGCATGATTTGAACAAACTTGAATCTACACTACCTGAGGATGATTCCACATGAGTTTGATCTTTCCTGGCCCAGTGGTTCTGGAGAAGAAGATTTTTAAAGTTTTTTCTTATATATTCCTCTGTAAAACTTGGGTCGGCCATTTTGCCCCCACCCTTGCCCCGGGGATCATGATTTGAACAACCTTAATCTACACTACCTGAGGATGATTCCACATGAGTTTCATCTTTCCTGGCCCAGTGGTTCTGGAGAAGAAGATTTTTAAAAGATTTTTCCAATATATTCCTATGTAAAACTTGGGTCGGCCATTTAGGCCCCACCCTTGCCCCGGGGGTCATATTTGAACAAACTTGAATCTACACTACCTGAAGATGATTCCACATGAGTTTCATCTTTCCTGGCCCAGTGGTTCTGGAGAAGGATTTTTAAAGATATTTCCTATATATTCCTATGTAAAACTTGAGTCGGCCATTTTGGCCCCACCCTTGCCCCGGGGGGGGCATGATTTGAACAAACTTGAATCTACACTACCTGAGGATGATTCCACATGAGTTTCATCTTTCCTGGCCCAGTGGTTCTGGAGAAGGATTTTTAAAGATATTTCCTATATATTCCTATGTAAAACTTGAGTCGGCCATTTTGGCCCCACCCTTGCCCCGGGGGGCATGATTTGAACAAACTTGAATCTACACTACCTGAGGATGATTCCACATGAGTTTCATCTTTCCTGGCCCAGTGGTTCTGAAGTAGAAAATTTTTAAAAGATTTTTCCTATATATTACTATGTAAAACTTGGGTCGGCCATTTTGGCCCCATCCTTGCCCCGGGGGTCATAATTTGAACAAACTTGAATCTACACTACCTGAGGATGATTCCACATGAGTTTCATCTTTCCTGGCCCAGTGTTTCTGGAGAAGAAGATTTTTAAAGATTTTTCCTATATATTCCTATGTAAAACTTGGGTCGGCCATTATGGCCCAATCCTTGCCCCGGGGGTCATGATTTGAACAAATTTGAATCTACACTACCTGAGGATGATTCCACATGAGTTTCATCTTTCCTGG